CAGCTTTAACAAGTCTCGATGTACAGGATAAAATTCTTTATTTCTTTTCACCCAAGTGTGATGTGAAGCAGCTGAGCTATAGACTCACTGTAGAACTTTTCTTCAAATGTTTTTTAGACCAGAGAGGAGCACATTCAGTGCTGGTTTTACTGCTTGTTTCTGTATGCTGTGCATGAAGACTTGAGGAGAACCAGGGAGTGCAGGGCTCTGATAGGTAAGGGAGGAGGAGGAAGGCCTGGAGGAATTCACAGAACATTTTTTCTTGTTGTCAGTGCTTTATGCGAGGTCATGGCAGCTTTTAGATAGAAGCTGCAGAGCTGTGATCTGACCCCTGAATATCAACCTCACTTCTCACACACGGGGGACAATCATATATAAACGTGTCCCATTTTCCTGTTATTTCAGTCGAATAATAAAAGAATAGGGGTAGATAGGACTGAACTGAAGCGTTGTGAGAAGAATTTCATGTTCTGATTGCTCCCTCCTCACACGGTTCCAGCAGCAGGACTGAGGTGTGGCTTTGGGGACAGCTTGAGGGATTTCCCTGCTGGCCTCTGGGCAGGGCTTTGCCCTCCTCGCACCCATCCTTTGCCTATATTTTATATTCTACTTTAATTAACATTTCTGGACTTGTTGCTGCTCCCTTTCTGAGGGAAACACCAACCCTTTGTTCCAGCAGAACAAAGGGAAGCCAAACCTATTTACAGCACTTCAGGGTAATTAAATCCTCATTATGGTGCTGACAGTTCCCGTTGATTGGCACCACGTGTCTGTTTTCAATAGGACCCGCAGGGATAATTAATTGTGGCGAGCCCATTAATTTGCCATTTGCTTTGTATGACGCTTGACAAAAGTATCCCGGAGTCCTGGGTGGGGAAAGGAGGTGGCTCTGCTCTTTGGGACTCCCCAGAGCATCCAGAAAACTCTGAGCTGTTTGTGCTCCCACGAATTGGTTGCTTTTAAAAGTCTTCATCTCGAGCCTTCATTAAAATTGATGTTCTTGAGGCAAAGGCGTCTTTTGGTGTGTGAAATATTTCAGTCACGAGAGAGAGAACATTTATTTCTGAAGTTGTTTTGTGGGTAGGGAAGAACAGCGTAGGGATTGATGTGACTCGGAATCTCATTTTGGAAAAGGAACCTTACTCATGTTTAGGTTCACACGTAAATAAATCCAAATAGTCATAAAACCCCCGGTTCACATGTACATAAATAAATTCAAATAGTCATATAACCCCCGCTTTGATTAAAACATAAGGAACTTTTTTCATTATTATTTTACAGTGAAAATATATCAAAATGAAAAAGGTATCCATTTCACTATTATTGTTGCCCAGACGTAAATATTGTTTCAGTTTTCATCTTAAAAATGTACTATTTTAATAGGCATTTTATTATTTATTGCCCTATATTACTTATTCCTTTTTTATCATATTATGCCAATTTTTGTCCTGCTTCACTTGCAATTAATTCCTCTTCTGGGTGATCTGTGAATTCAAAGATTTCATTTGGGTTTTGAATGAGAATTTGCAAGGACGGTGGACTTTATCCTAGATAAAATTCCACATTCATTTGTCGAACAGCTTAGAAGAACTGGAATTTCAACGCTGTATTTCATCACCTCTCTGTGTAATTATGCCTCAGTGATGTTGTTTGCAGGTATCAATTATGTCCTTCCTCTTCTTGATTAAAATAACCCTTCATTAAAAGCCTCCTCTCTCCTTTTGGGTGCATTTTGATGACAGAACTCCAGGCACTTGGCAGCTCTTGGCAAACTGAGGGTGCTCCATGCTGGATCACTTCTCTCCCAAATGAGCTGCTCGTAGATATGAAGAATAAAGATTTGAAGAATAAAGATTTAAAGAATAAAGATTTAAAGAATAAAGATTTAAAGAATAAAGAATTTCAAGAATAAAAACCAATTCCTGGATGGAGAGCAAACATGGATGAAGTGGCAGCAATTTTAATTTCAGCAGATAATGCTCAAAAAGTTTGTGTTGACTTCCTGCCCCCCCTTTTTTTTTCTTGACTGGGAAGATCTGTCTTTATTAACTGGGAAATATGGAGATAAATTTTGGGGTTTGGGGTTTTAATTGTGATTTTTCTTTACCCTGTTAATTCTGTTACTCCCTAGCTAAAGAGGAAATTTTAAACACACATTTTATGAGTGGCTGCATCCCTCAGGAGCAGCAGCTGCAGCTCTGGAGGTGTGAAATGTGGAAAACCTGGGCGTGGTTCAATATTTCCTTCAATATTTCCATTTTCCCTCTGTTGGCATCTCCAGCCTCCCACTCCCTCCACTACAGGGATTTCCCTCCATCCTCACCTGCTGCATGAGACAGAGCAGATTCCTCCTTTTTTTTTTTCATTTTTAAAATTTCATTTTATTTCATTTAAATATTTCTATTTCACGTCAATATTCTATTTTTCATCTAAATATTCTATACCGTTTAACTATTATGTTTTATTGGCTGGAATTACAAGATCAGACTTTATATCCCTGAATTTACTGCCTGGGACAATAAGTGAACCAAATAAAAGAGGAAGAATTATTTTATATATTTAACTGTAGTTTGCTTGGTTTAAATTTAATACTTAACCTTTCTACTAAATTGTAATTAAATTACGTGTATAACCTATGTAGACATTAATTATATAATCAATTGAAACCAGTGAGAATCCATGAATTCATTTCTACTCACAATCTGGAGTTGTAATAACTTATAATAATTTATAATTGTTATAGGTTGTAATAATTTCTAATTTATATTAATTTGAAATACAGATTTCAAAGAAATCTCTGCTCAGGATGGTTTATTTGAGGTTGAGTGTTAAAAACATTTATGTGAAAGTTTTTATCTGTGCATCTGCTGCTTTGAGTTGCTTCAAAACGTTGAGGTTTTGAAAAGAAATATTTTAATGTTATAGTTCCAATTACAAAAGGAAATTCATTAAAATTAAGGTTCACAGGTGAAAATAAAGGTTGGAATTTTTTTTAGGGGGGAAAATAAAATTGAAAAAACCGTTTATTTAGGAAGTGTTTTATTTTTGGCTCATATGTGTTGCTAACTCAAATAATTTCTTTTTGTTTGACTTTAAGGAAAAGTTGTTCTAAAATTAAAATTTTTGTCGCTGATCTGAAAAGGGGAAAAATTTGTTCATTTATAACCAGATACAAAATATTGAGAATATTCTGGTTTTTTTTCTTTTGTGTTCCTTTCCACCTTAGCACAGAATATTTTCATTACTGAGTAATGAGGAGGCCTTGAAGCAAATTAATTCGATTTTAACCCCCCAAGTAATGCTTTTTTCTTCATTATTATCATTTTTTTGTAATTAATTCAGTTTTATCCAGTATTTCACATATAATGCTGATTTTCTTTAATATTTTTTTTCATAATTAATTCAGTTTTATCCTGATTTCCTATGTAATGCTGGTTTTTTCAATATCACCACCTTTTTTTGTAGGTAATTTAATTTTCTTCCAGTGTTTCATCTGTAATGCTGATTTTTTCATTATTATAATATTCTCTTTTGTAATTAATTCAGTTTTATTGCGGTTTTTCATATGTAATGCCGTTTTTCTTCAATATTATAATCCCTTTTTTGGTAATTAATTCAGTTTATCCCAGTATTTCACATGTAGTGCTGTTTTAGCCCAATATTAATTTTTTTTTTTTTTGCAATTAATTCAATTTTATCCTGGTTTTTCATCTATAATTCTGTTTTCTTCAATATTATCATCTTTTTTTGTAATTAATTCAGTTTATGCCAGTATTTCATATGTAGTGGTGTTTTAGCTCAATATTACAATTATTTTTGTAATTAATTCAGTTTTATCCTCGTTTTCATATGTAATGCTATTTTTTCCTAATACCACCACCTTTTTTTTAATAACTAATTTAATTTTATTCCAGTGTTTCATATGTAATGCTGTTTTTCTGCAATGTTATAATCTTTTTTTTTGTAATTAATTCAGTTTTATCCCAGTATTTCACATGCAATGCTGTTTTAGCTCAATATTATAATTTTCTTTTGGTACTGAATTCATTTTTATCCCAGTATTTCATATGTAATGCTGGTTTAGTTCAAAATTATAATTTCTTTTAATACTGAATTCATTTTTATCCCAGTATTT